CCCAGCATCCATGGTGCTAACAACCATTCGTAACTCCTGTTCCAGGGAATCCAACACTCTCTTCTGACCTTCAGGGGCGTGATGCGGGTGCACTCACATACATGCAGACAATACACTCGTACACATAAAATAAAAATAATAAATAAACTATTTTTTTAAAAAAATAAAAGAAAATGGGAGAGAGAGAGAGTGGTGGCTGTTTCCTATGTTAAAATTGCCAGCGTTTTCCTCCCTGGGTGTGGGTGTGCCTCTCGGGTCTCTTTTAGCCAGAGCCTAACTGAGAGAAGGCCCAGGCTGGTCCGGTCTCAGTTCACCACCTCCTCTGCAGAGAGCACAACTGCAGCTGCTACAGTGGGAGCGGGAAAGCAAGCCGAATTCTTTTTTTTTTTTTTTTTTTTTTGAGACAGGGTCTCCCTGTAGCCCCAGCTGTCCTGGAACTCACTATGTAGACCAGGCTGGCCTCGAACTCACAAAGATCCGCCTGCCTCTGCCTCCCAAGTTCTGTGATTGAAAGCGTGCAAGCCGAATTCTTTAAGACACCGTTTCCCTCTGGTGGGTGACTCGCCCTCAGCCTTGCAGAAACTCTGTTACAACTGCATGGCAATCTAGGTCATGCTCCCCGTCTGCCTCCTTGGGCATCCGACCCACCTGTGGCCCGAGGGCTATATTGGGCTCTTCCTGTTCCTATCCCGTTTTCCTTCATGGGCATAATCCCCCATGAATAACTTGAAGTCTAATCACGGCATGGTTGCATCTCAGAGAAGGAAAACTAATCTTGCATTTAAATCCTTCTGTCTGCCATGTTTAGTTAGTAGCCATATCGGAATGGTTTCGCTGGACAGTGTCCCCTCCCCGCCCCTTTCCCTGTATGTAGTTCCTTCACATTTCTTTATTCTCTGCTGTGAACACTGGAGGCACAGCCTTCACCAGTCTGCTCAAGGGTTATTATTAATGCCAATGTTGGCCACTGTTTGTGGTACTTATGATGGGCCAGGCCCTGTGTGTATATCTCAACTTATCCATACTATAATTCTATCATGAGAAATTATTCCATTTTAAGGATGAGAAAACCAGCCAGGTGTGGTGGTGCACGCTTTTAGTCCTAGCATGCGGGAGGCAGAGGCAGGTATAGATCTTTGTGAGTTTGAGGCTAGCCTGGACTACATAGCAAGTTCCAGGCCAGCTGGGGCTACAGGGAGAACCTGTCTCAAAAGAAAAAAAAAAGACATTTAAAATGGTTTAAAAACCTTACTTAAATATATATGGTTAAACAGAGGAGGACCTGGCTACCTGACTTTAAGGCTAACACTAATGGTAGTAATAATTGCAACTAATATTAATGAAACACTTCCTCTGTGTGTGCATTTCACCAAAGGACTACTTGATTATTACATTAAGTCTTTCAAACAGTATCTTGAAGAACCAATACTCTTTTTCCAATATTAAATTGTGGAATCTGAGGTTCAAAGAAGTTAAGAATCATGAGTAAATACTTTATAGCTATAAATATTTGCACTGAAAAAGATTTCAAGTCAACAAACTTTATAATTTAATTTATCATAGAAATTTATTATAAATTATAGATTTAATTTATAATAGAAAGGAAAGCATTCGGGAAGCTGAGGCAGGAGGATTGCGAGTTTGAAGCCAGTCTGGATTGCACAGTGAGACCCCATCTCAAAAAAATAAACTGACACATTCCCTCCAAAGAATGCCAGTGTAGGGGCAGGAACAGAGACCACAATGTAGCAGAGAAAACCAATGAACTGCTTTGTTCTTCAAACATATTAACATCATCGACAACCCTTAACTAGATTAACTTTGTAAAGAAGAGATTAATATTACTAAAAACTCCAAGTGAAATTTGAGACATTACTGCCCATTATTCAGAATAATGAGAATTCCAAAAGGACTCTGGATAATCGAATGCTAACCATCGGATGACATAGAAGAAACAGACAAATTCCTAGAAGCACAGAGCATACAGAGAGAATCATGAAGGAACAGAAATAAAAACGTGGAGCAGCTAATAGCAGATACGGCTGAATCACGAAAAGCATCTGACAAAATTTAATGGCTTCTGGTGCTGAAAACTGGAACTAAGGATTGGAGATGACTCCAGTGTGCTACAGGACATGTGAAAGCCCTTAGCTGACATACTCAGTGGTCAACCGTAAAAGCTTTCCTCTAAGATCAGGAGCGGCAGGAGGCCACTTTCACCACTTTTCTGTTCCGTATGCTGTCAGAAGTCCTAGACAGGACAACTGGGAAAGACCAAGACATAAATGGTGCCCAGTTATAAGGCAGTAAAATTACGTGTCTACACACGACATGAACTTGAAACCCTAAAGATTCTGCAAAAAGTTGTTAGAACTGATGAGCAAAATTGAAGACTGACAAAATGAACATGCCCACATCAGTTCTATTTCTATATACTAATATTAACAATGAACAGTTTGGTTTCATTTATTTATTTATTTATTTATTTATTATTTTTGCAGTACTGGGGAACCGAGGGCCTCATGCATGGTAGGCCAGTGCTCAGCCTTAACCATGAACAATCTGAAAGAAATTAATAAATTTTTTTATTTATGACAGCATCAAAATAAAATATTTAGAGTTAACTTCACCGACCATCCATTGATTGCCTGAAGCTCTTCATCCTGAGGTGGGACACTGTGAAATTGCCCCCATCCACCCTGGCATGTCAACTGGTTTTGTCATTACGCAGATCCCATTAGACTACCATTACATGTGGAGATTCTGTGGGTACAACTTCCCTATCATGTCTAGAATGCATTAACTAGCAGAAAGTGTCTTGACCTCTGGCTCTTACATTCTCCTCCCCGCTCCCTCTTCTGCAACGTTCTCTGAGCTGTAGGTGCAGAGGTTGCAATTTTCTCCAGGGACTAGCTCCCTGAGTGCTTACCTAATCCCAAGAGGGGATCCCTAAACACAGGTACACACACGCAGCACTAAATGAACTCAGTGCATTATGTACATAAACATATGTGTGTATTTATAAATATATGTATGTGTGTGTGTGTAACAACAATAAAGACAAGGACAAGAAATTGAGAGGGAGCGGGCATGGGAAGAGGTGGAGGGGGCTGGGAGGAGGTGGGGGGGGCACAGGAGGAGGTGGAGGGGGC